TAGTTAATTAGGACCGTGATAAAAACGTTAAAATTCTCTAGTAATCACTGCATGATCAGACAATTTTTGTTGAAATTATTCAGTAATAAAAAGCAAAAGAGGAAGAGAATTTTGCAGAAACCGCAGCGGGTAGCCCGCTGGAAACTGGGTGGGCAGGAATTAACCAAGAGGGAGAGGTTTAAATCGGGCAGCACAGGTTAATGATTTCGGCGAGTTTGTACACATCGTGCAGCGTACATTGTTAAGGTTCCCTCACAAAAGAGCATTAAACCTTACCGATGATGATGACCCCGGTGCCAGTCATCGTCGATAATGACCGTTTCTCGACGCGAACGTGTTCCTCGCTCCCTTCTTCCGCAACGCTCCCGCCGGCTTTTTCCTTTCGCGTGTACACGCACGCCGGGCAAGAGATTCGGTCCGCTTCCTAATAACTATCGTCATTAACGCTCGGGACCACGAAGCGACGCCACGGCCAAACGGGGCAGGCATTTTTTCGTGTACACGCGCACGAGCGGACACCAGAAAAGATTTCACAATACCGCTCGTAATTTTCGTGCAAGGGGACGAGGGGGGCGGGGGTGGAGCGTGCGCGCGTGTGGGCATGGGATTAACGACGAGTTTTAACGCCGCGCCAGGTACGTTCCGTTTGATCGAATATATTCGTCATAAGGGGAGGTAGACGGTATATAGCGGATATGCACGCGCGGCTCAATTTTTTGCGCCGCTATCATAATTCTCCTTCTCTCTCTCCTTCTCTGCCTCTGTCTCTCATTTGTTTTATTATTAGTGCATACACTGCTTTAAAACATTGTTCCCCCGATGCAGTTTTATTTACTCTCGTGTTTAGTACGTAAAGTTAAAAAAAAGGATTTTTAATAATTAACAGCTCGTTCAATAAATTAATCATTCCTGACAGTGTTATTAGATTTTATTTGTGCAACCGAAGAGACTTGATTCGTGTATATGTACATAAATCACTTAACTCGGTGATGATTTTGCGACTAGGACAAATGTGAGCTATTATTCTTAGACATTTTTATGGTAAATGGCATTCTTTTCATAATCTCCGATGAAATCTCGTATCTATATAATAAACATCGTTTTCCACATCGGTTGAAAATAATTTAACGATTAATCTATTCAGATTTTAAAAGAATTATTTGAAAAGGGAAATTCAGGTTTATAGACATCTGCTTGTGTTCGTTTCGGAAAGGTCATTGGCGATAGTGCAGTCCAATTTCCGGTGACAAAACATTCCCGGTAATTACCGCGATGATAACGAATTAATTTAAGCGTCGACAAAGTACGATCCCGTGTCAAACTACAAAGGAAAATGTGAATCGATTCGACGAGTCCAACGCGAATCGCTCGTTCTCCTGGAAAGCGTATCCGCGTCGAAATCGGTCAGCTTTCATATCGCCCCGCGTTTGCGTCCGAAAACGATCTCCGAAGCGAAATTGCGTCCCGATCTAATTTCTTCTCGAAAAAATCGTGCGACAGGTAATCAACCGGCACGATGCGACGCGATAGGTCGACCGTCGCCATTCCATCGTTAAGCGGAATAGTTGAACATTCGCGAACCATTTGTGAACCTTTCATGCGAACATATTTCTTCTCGTAGCGGCCGCATCAAAAGATTTTTTGTTTTTACGTACTTTATAGCGAAGCCAGATGTTCATCACGGCGATTGAAATTATAAATTTTATACGCCCCGGAATGACTCGAACATGGGAATCGATAGAACTCGCGGGAGGTCAATAATCCAATACCCCCAGCACTGACAATGAGTTTGATAATTAATTCGCCAAACTCTCTCTCTCTCTCTCTCTAAGTACAGTTTAGACGTGGTTATTTAGCGAACTCGACAGGGCGTGAAAGCAACAAACTGTACGATCGGTCGGTCATGCTTTGCACGCTGTGTAAGATATAAATATGTAAATGTTCAGACACGGACTAAATATACGAGTGCATTTTTGTCTCCTGTTTTGTCACTAAAATAAGTAACACTTTTTGGAATATCTCAAAACTGCCTATTATGGATAATCAATTTTCAAAAAGGAAGAAGTTGTCTAAAATTACCCCTTCAACGTCATATTAAATAATTATAAAAATCAAAGACGTTAACGTCTATCTGCACATTTACCTGTAAATGAAATAACGTAGCGGACCGATATGGGTAGTTAAAAGGTAGAAGAGATATGCGTGATCGTTCATGCGTACGTGTAATCCAAGTACACGTTTCACACGACCAAGAACTTTCTCTCGTCGGCGTTTATCGAAGCCCGCGGTGGCTTGGCGGCGTGTGTCCGGCGACCTTTCGCGTTATAAGCGTTATATTAAGCCCGATGTCTGATTCACACAGTACGAGCCTGGTAACAAACGAGGCCGGAGAGTTACACGCGCATACATATATGCATTGAGCCATATACTCGTCCAGCAGCGGTTCCGTTGCTCTCAGTTCCCGTTTCTCCTCCGCTGGCTAACCTATGACTCACACGAACATCGAACGGAGCACGTACGAGAGATTAGATAACTCTCGTTACGTTAATGCCGTGCGTGACGCCGCGCCGGATCGTGGCTCAATGGAAAGGGCTCCAGTGATCGCGAACAGGTACATATCAGGGATCCGTATGCTTACTTCTAAGGACAAGTGGTGGACAAGATTATGCTCTTTCTTATACAGATGTGTGGCAAAGTATTTTACAAACTTCACCCACGTATCTGTATAAAGTTGCATATTATTATTCCTAATTCCTTCACAAGATATTAGAAAAGCTAAGCAAACAAGTTCATTCGTGTAAGCAGAGCATGTTTGGCTCCTTGGAAGAGCGTGTTTGGAGCTCTGGCAATACTGTTAATATCGTAGAGAGGTACAGAAAATAGGGGTCAGGAGTTGAGACGACAGCGTTTCAGAGTCACTCTTGGCTAGCACATCACTTTAGAGAAGTTGGAAGTTTTACGCAAAGCATAGTTGTAACTGACACGAATCAATTAATAAATTTGCCATTCTTCTAAAAACTTGCGGTCTTCTACACTGAAGATCTCAGTGAATCGTAGATGGTTTACTCATTCGGTATTCTTGAAAATTATTTTCGACCTTATCCGCCGCATCTGAATCGTGTTCGCAGAAATTTCGAAACGGGGGTTTATCATTTACATATTAAAAACACCGTGCAGACGAACAGTAGGTCTCGAAATAAGCAATTTGCGGGGTGCAGTTATCTCCGCAGCTATCTTTGATTTCGCGGAAACACCGTAGGCCCGTGAAAGTTTTGTCAGATACTGGGAATTATCGCTAGCCAGGAGAAGGGAGAGAGGAAGAAGGGAACGAAGAAAAAGAAGATGAGCTTCGACCAGTTTCGGAGTTCGCAAGCGCGACTTGGACGCGGTGCCGCGCCGTGGTCTCCGCCCGAGCAATAAATCGTCGATATCACAATGAGGAACGTATTGAGCCGTCGGCCCTGCGATGTAATGGCGCAATGAATCATGCAAAAACTTATCGCGTACCGTCTAGGAGATGAGCGAATGCATGTTTTCATTAGTCACCGTTATTTGCTGCGCCCTGCAGATACGCGTCGCGATCTCCAAGCCCCGTTGGGAATACGCGCGCCTTTTCCGCGCGCAACCTTGGCCAGGTATTACTGAGCGTTTCGCTTTTATCTGCTTATCGGCGATCCATCGGTTACCGATCTCGCCTAGCTATCGGCGGTATGCCTATACTCGCGGCGAGAAAGAAAACAGAACGATCTCGATGCGTGGCTGGTTAAAACGAAAGTAACATACGTCTAGAAACTCGAGAAGCATCGATGAATATCCCAGTGACGTCTGTATTAAATCAAGGCAAGAATCAGATATAGGGAGCTTGGAAATTTGCAAATACTAACTCGAGAGACTTAAAAGAAAGATATTTTGAAAAGCAAGGAAATTTTATGAACACATCACGTCACTACGATGTTTGGTTGAAATAAAAATAGCGATTTCTTTGAAAGCATTCAGCGCGAGTTAATAGAATCGAGATTAGGTGCTTGCTATCTGTTCGGCATGCAACGTTGTTTTCTTTGGCGGCCACGGTGATTTGCACGGATTACAATTGATTATTGTAGCGTGCTTGCGCTTACAAAACTGGACGAGACCATAGAATGCGGGTTTTCATTAGTCACCGTTATTTGTGACGCACGGCACGATGCAACATCGATGCACCGTGTAAATGCATGTTGCCCCGGGGGTTCTCTCGTCTCCACTGGCGTACGTTTGCTAATAATAGCAACGTATCTAATACCATTTGGTAACAATCCGGTGAATTATTCTAATTTTGTAACCGTAACACTATTCTAACACCGGCGATCATAATTATCTAATAGTGGTACATGTTTATTCCGACGTGGTGTGTAACATTTACATGTGTAATTTCTATAAATCGCTGCGGTCGAGTTCAGTTTTCTCTTTGCTAGAGGATAACAGCCGCTGCGATTATGAACCGGAAACCTGTCAGTTTCAGCGGGATCGTAAATCATAAAATCACTGAAAGCAGCAGAATGTCTGAATGACTAAAAGACGGAACTTTTTTCAATTTCATTTATACCCAAGGAATGTAAGAGCTTAATTACGAAGAATCCTTAGAAAGGAAGACTCATGAAGGATTATGTCAATTTTTCAAATACATTCTAATTCACATTTGACGTACACGATTCGTTAATATTCTGCTGAACACTGTATATTAATTAACAAGATTCTTAGTTTTAGCACGTTTTACCATGTGTTACCCTCGCATCTGGCTTAGGTTTCCCAAATAGACGCGCGGGATTGGCTCACCGCGATTCCCGTTCATTGCACTTTAACCCGCGTTATTATTACAGCCGGTGCCTAATAAGTGGCGGAATATTTTAAACAAAGTTAAATTCTCTCCGACGGCGCGATACCGCGTAGAAATCTATTCACGCGTGTATGTATAATACATTTTCATTAGTCACCGTTATTTGCGACGCCTTCGATGCATGAGCGTCGATGCACAGTCAGCGCAGCGTCGGGATTCTGGTGTGCGTCGCCTTCGAGGTATACTTTCGAGTGTACAAGTCTCGGAACGACTAGCGTGTTTTGATATCTCGCGGGGTACACGCGAGAGAGCTGCGTCATTCCTCTCATAACATGTGTGCATAAACAAGTGGAATGATCAACAGGGTGGCAAGGGATAGATCGGTGGAAGTGGTTTGAGAACGATAGGGGTAGATGGGTGGAGTGCAAAGAAGAGCCAGGAATAATGGTGAACATGACCCTGACATTTAAGAAGAAACAGATTCTTCGCGCTGAATTAAAAACAGACTCTCGAGAATAAACTTGTCATGCTCCTCGAGCTCTATAATTAAAGTTAGGTATGTATGACGTTCGCCGAGTTGCACGCGATGTGCCGATGGCCTTGTTCATTCAGATACTCGGTATTAATACTTGCATATGTGTCTTCCTTCTTGTTACCATTAATACATTTCGTGAACCGTGCCTGTTCTGATGACAACCTTTGTCATTTATGATTAATCATTACTACAGGTATGTCTTATAACGAGGAGAAAGTCAACTGGATATCAAGGAAAGTCAACAGTATAAATGCCATAAGAAACGCCTCATTATATTCTTAAGGAGGAATATACTGAAGTTACGAACGAAACATTAAGTAATGATAATGTATCGTTTCCGTATGTAAATAATACTTGATGAGTTCTATAAGTACAATGATCGAAAGAAAAGCCAATTCCGTGAGCAACAATCAGCTCGAACTAATTACTCCGATGGGAATCTATGAGGATAGTTGGAAAGGAACGGCTCGTCTCCTAATCACGCAACCAGTCGAAGCATTAACTGGTTCCGAGGTAACCTTGAAGATGAGGGCAGCGGGACCGCGGTTAACGGTTTCGCTTCGTTAAGCCGGTAGGAAGTGTATCGCTTAGGAGGCGAGTATTACAATTTATAACGATGAACCCGTGTGATCAGCGTCGATTAATTGCCGGCTCGATGCGATCTCGATAAAGCGTCGTGTACACCTACCGACACGTATAGAGACGTGGCTCGATTTCTCGCTACGATCGAACCTGCTCGCTCGAGGGCAAACGATCGGTTCGTAATTTTCGTGAAGACCGTTACCCACGCATCTCGCCTCGGCTATTTCCACACGTTTTGCCCATGTTCACGACTACACGCGCCGTAATATTCGCGCCACTTATATTCGAGCAGCTATGCGTTTACGGTCAATGCTGATGCAACGGGTGTACGATAAGGAAGAAGGCACAACGAGATTTTCTACCGACTGGACGGCGCCGTTGCTCTACGCGTTATTCGTAGCCGTTTTCACGACGGATTTATCGCGTGCGGGAAAAATAACTAGAAAATTAAATTCGTCGATCAAGAAGAAAATTGCTCTCGCCAGAGTGCTTAGTACCACTTAGTGAAATGAGAACGGAGCGGTAGCTCTTTTGCGTCTACGTCGTATAAAATGCGTCTCGTACAGTTATGACGTCGATACGTTTTACAATTATGCCACGGAACTCGGAGCAAGTGTGCAGAAATTCGGAATGACGTGGACGTAAAACAGCAGAGGAAATGATAATTCCCGTAGAGGGAGAATTCTGTTTGCGAGATAACTAGAGAATTCGATTGACGGGACAGCGGCGTCTGAAAATCGGCGTCCCAGACCTCTCATGGGACATTCATTTTGCAAGAGAAAGATGAAAGCTGGTCCCGAACGGAGCACCGACGCGACACGATCGCGCCGGTTTCTATACCGTCTGCATCGATTATCGTTTGACCGACTGAAGTACTAGGGCCGTCAGTTTAATGAATAACGACGTACCTAATGACACACGACGTCACACCTCAACTCGAGCCGCATATACGTCAACCGGAATCGATTCCGTCGGAAAATCTACGGCGGATGTTTGACAAGGTCGGACGTTCGTTCGAGCGACGCCGCCGGAGCGATTCCGGATACCAAAGAGAGCTTCCTGCACTTTTTACTCCGGCCCATCGTCAAAGAGAAATGCGGTTAATTGATACCTCTTCTGTCAGCGGACAAAAATAAAATTCAATGTTAAAAAAACCGTGACGATTTCCATGCTCTGTCGGGTCGACTTCATTGGACCATTATAATTTTCAGTCCATTGAAAAGTCTTTTTGATTTCAGCTACGTCGAAGTCTACCGGGAACTTTCGTGAAAAGTGTAGCATATATGTAACTTACACACGTGGCTGAAGATAGATACTACATACATGTTCCAGCGGTCAAATTCATACACGTATCGAACTCAGAAGCGGTTCGGACTTCAATACCACGCGTTTCAAAGTTCCTTTTAACTGATATTTGTGGAAATCCACCGATCTGAACTACGGTTCAATAAATCTTTAACTATAGTTGACCTAATCCGATATTTCATTCCTATTTAAATGCGAATTGAAGTACTTATTCAACGGCAGTTTACATTCCAACGAACAGAAAAGATTTCAATTATACTGATATGCAATCTTAATCAGCCAATATAACTGTTGATCCGCTGCATTTGAAATCCATCGACTAGTTAATGAATTCTCTTCGCCAAAGGAAATGATAAATTCCTAACGCAATTACAAGTTGAAAACAGCGAAGCAACGTCACAGCCGTTTACACGGCACATTATCTCGACGAGGTTCGTCCACGACATAATGCGACGCGGCGGCCACGATTCCCTGTCGTAACACTATTAACGCGTCACCCTGTATCGAACGGAATGGATTCGTACGGACCTTTCGATAAGTGCTGTGTCCCGTGCTGTCTAGTGCAGCAACACCTACACCCGTTCCGCATTACTTATCAAGCCGTGGTCCCCGGTGTCTATCGAGAATAGAAGCGGGAACATGTGCAGGAAGCTGAAATGTCCGATGCACCTGACAGGTGCTCACGTATTCACGGCCCCGACAGCCCTTCACTCTCAGCGCATCAATCTCTCCGCTAGTCGTGCCAAGATACGAGACCGTCGCGCCGGTCACTAGCTACCTCGAAGATTAAAAGTCCTCGACAAAAACTTTCACAACTTTGATTGTACATGCGTGTTTCAATCATAGTTGCTGTACGTTTACATTTTCAGTTCATGTCATGTACAAATTTCAATTAGATATATTGAAGTGCAACGAGGAACAAATATAGAATTACCAAAAGGATTTTCGGATTTCGCTCGCTTTGAAGTTTCGGCCGCGCGATTGGTGGTCGCGTCCAGGTCGCCAACGGTAGACAATGATCCCTCCAGTCGAGATTTTGCAGCGTAACCGCGGAACTTTGTCCGTGGCCGGCCGGTCCCGGGAGACCACACGCGGACCGGAGACGCGCGACGAGTCCGCATGATCGTCGTTTCGCGATCATGATCGCGATCGAGTCCAACAGGGCAGCCGGTTGATGTGTCATTACGCCGCTCTCAGGGAGGGCCCGACGGAAAAAGTGTGAGCGAGAGAACGAAAGAGACAGCGGGTCTTTCTGGTGAAAGAAGACCTTGTGCCCCTCTTCCGTGAACGCTGTTCTCGCGGTCGCACACGCTGGGATTTCGAATCGACGGGACACACACAAACGCCAGGTTCGCGGTTTCCGCTCGCGTCTTTGTCCCGCTGCTCGCCCGGTGATTTACGCGCCGCTGTCCGCGGTCATTTTAATAACAATTTCTGGCCTATTTGTTTATCGCGCGCAAATACGCGCAACCATACACCGCGGTTATTTATGGACCGAACAATCGCGCGAGTGTGGTAACCGTGCGGTCGTTGGGCCTTTTGCCGACTTTCCTTGCGAAATTGCATGAATTCAATGGGCGTTGCGAACGGATCGTAACCGTTCGGGTGTTTCATAACGGGTCGATGATGAATTGTTTATTATTGCGCAATGGGTTAATTTATCCGGCGGTGCGAGAAACGCGATATCGATGGGCTGGGTAATAATTTTACGTCCTCTCGGATTGTTTCGCGACGAGCGGATCACAGTAACAAGTTCCCGTTCCGTGCGCCGAAAAAAGAGAAAGGAGAAAAGAAGTTTCGGTTACGGTGAACGGTTGCGAAAATGCAGGTGCGAATCGAGTAATTTCACGCGTCGCAAACGTGTACCGAAATTTCTTGCGCCACTCGCGCCTCGTTTATGGTAGAATCGATGCTTCTCAGGGAAGAAACGCGGGCGCGACGAAACGTGCAGAGGGCATAAGAAACGGGCAGGTTATATAAAATTTCGTTCGCGCGTTGCATGCATTAAGCACAGCGTTCGAGCGTACGCGACCGTCCGTTATGACGCTGTCGCCTCAATTTGTTCCCCCGCGTAATGACGAGCTTATTAATCTTCATGATAAATCGAATTAAATATTTCAATAATATGCGGACATAACCACGCAACAATTTCATGTTATCAATTATTTAGTAATTAGAGTCACATTACAATTATTTGTAATCACCGGTAAATGATAAATTGAGGGACGCCAGTTGGCCGGCAATATCACTAATGGCATACAAAAACGTCATTTAAATAATATCTTTATCATTTCCAACGCGATGCGCCCACGCCTTATTGGATTTCAATCTTTTTATGTTCCCACTCTTTCGAGATCCGACTCGGTAATAGTTCTGTCAAGATTATTCTATTGCTGGTGAAAAGGATTAAGATGCTTTTCGTAACGGATAAGACTGCGTTCAGTTCTTGTGAAGAAAATTCCTATGAAATCCGCTATAAATTATGTTGGCGGAGAGGATCGTAGGGAAATTCGACGTTAAGAAATTCTCCATAGAAAGCAGCCGAGGTGCTGATCCCGAAACTTATGGACGTTAGTACATCCTTCCGTCTAATTTATGTTACATTCACGTAACCTTCTGTGGGAAAGTAAACCAGCCTTTTGTCTCATTAAACCGTTATCGAGATAAAATGAAAATAAAATTGTTGCATCGGTTTTTCCTTAAATAAATCTGTCTTTGAAACTATCACATTCAGAATTCCAAACTCGAACTAAGGTTTATAAAAAAAAAAAGAGCTCACGTTTATATTTCCGGATTTCAATTTTCGAATAAACACGCCATTCGGATTCAGAATTTCAAATTCACTTTTATAGAGTTCCGTTCCCGTATGTTCGCTGTCCCATAGATCGGCGTCACGCACAGAAACCAATCTTTCCGACAAGCGATAGCCTTTGCTAACGCATACGCAAACGGAGTAGCCTCCCGCGGCGCGTAAAGGTCGGCACTGCGATTACGTAATCGCAGACTTCGCACAGAATCCCGTAGAACGTGAATCATGGTGGCCACCTGCCGCCAACATTTACTTTGCGGAAATCCATCTACGCGATTCCACGGCATCGACGCGGACATCAAAGTAGACGTTCATAACCGCGCGATTGAACGAAGCCCGTCTGCGGTGGAATCTCGAAGTTTTGTGAATCGTATTTTACTGGCTGTCCGAGAGAAATAACGTAACACCGTGACTGAATCGAACTTTCTTGCTGGTCACAGGGATGGATTGAAACAGCACATTTGACTCAACACTTTTGTTTCAAATTATAACAGAGCCTCTGTTGAATGAACTAAGCTGAGAACAATCGTGTTCATATAATGTAATGTTCACATAACGGCGATTCGAGCGCATTTAGAAAATTTGCATCACAAATGGGTAATACTTTCAAGATAAAATATGCATTTTTGTTCAGGAATTTTTAACGGTGAAATTTTTATTCCCAAGTATCCGTATCTTCAACGATTCAGGACACGAGCATGCGAAATATAAATTTCATTTTTATGTCGCCGCGATATCGCGCTGGCTGTGCAACGTAAAACCCATCATACGCGCTCTTCGTTATTACACACGTATACGTAAGTGTCGTTAAACGGTAACCCGCAACGGGACTCCGGTTATCTCCGGATGGGATTAGTGTTAATTAAATGCGGTCACGCTAATTGAATCCAAATACGTGCTTGCAAAAAATGTCGCACAGAGGCCTAGCCGAATCGTTGGAATCACCGTCATAATATTACCTAAGAGGAAACGTCGACGCGTTTCACGAATTGGAACAACATACAGTTGGAGAAGGTACGAATGAAATGGAACGAGTTAACATAAAGGATGAACGCTCGTGTCGCCGAAAAACCAGAGGAAAAACGTAGTGAGGGAAAACAGACAAAGGGGTCAAACGAAAGAGGCGGCGACCATTGCCAGAAAATAAAGTGGTCCTATGACACGTGAGAAATCCTGGCAGCCTGCGGAATACAGTCGTGCCGCCTACGGCGGATGAAAGGGTTTTCCGTATGAAAGTTGGAAAGGGTGTCACGTCAACGAGTGTAAATCAGTTTACTCCGGTGGAAGGGACGAGATTGCAATTTCTCTGTCCCATATTCATGCAGCTGTTTTAGAAATACGGTTTTTTTTTCTATACACCGCGCGAAGAATTGTTCGACTAGTAAAATGAAATAAAACTTCCAAAAAGTGAGGGGCAATACGACGATGTAACAATGTAATGGTCTCGTCCTTTCTTACGAACAATTAGTAATAATCTTATTAAAGAAATCTTGCGATCCAAAATAATATAATTTTTACGAAATCATATAATACAATTCAGAAAATTGGGAAAGTGATTTCCTAACTTGTGATGTCACATCCGGAACGAAGTTGGAACGACATTTCGCTGACGTTTTTACACGATTAAACGGTTATACCGACACGCATGAAATCGCGATTTTGAAAAGTGTTATCGTTAGTGTGGTACCGTTCATTTAGAGAGGGTCCGGTAACGAGTTAATATGCGTGGAGCAAACAATGCCGTGCGAAAATAGATTTACGACGATTACGGGGGACCGAACGTCGGTCCACTTGAAACGTGTATAATTGTTTCACGGTTGAATGCCGTTGCATAATATTGCGCATTGTAGCGCCGAGCGTGGAGCGCGGATGCCCGTTGAATACGCGCGCCGATTTTCCACGTTGAAAAAACTAGCAGACCCGCGCCGGCCTCTTCGGTTGTTTACGTGTCTCGAATGACAGCTGATAAACGTTCGATCGTAATTGGAATTCGGCTGTTTTATCGGCCCCGGTCTGTCACCTATTACGGAACAAATAAAACACCGTGTTTTCCAGAACCTTTTTCCGGAACTGGATTACAGCCCACCGGGTTTATACGTGCGAAAACACGGTTCTGTAATTTGTATAAAAAAATATCAACCGGTTGTTATTATGCTGCAGGTTGATAATTACTTATTTCGACTAATCATTTCATGCTCCGGATGGAACAGAACTCGACAAGTCCGTTTAATATCGGATACGACTCGACGAATGTCCATTTAATTGCCTCATCTGGTTACATTAGTGAATTGCGTTATGGAACAGTGAACGGTTTCGAATATAAAATGAGACTTGATTATTGATTGACACCAAGATATTTCGGAGAACCCGACTGATACGGACGTGGGTAACGAAACATTACTTCTGACTGAAATGAGCAGTGCTTCTACGTACAGAATTCGTTTGAACCCATTAAAAACTCGAATTTGGTCAATTAAATCGAAAGACCCGAAGAGAACTGGCCGACGGATCCTATTTGTAAGGATTTGCGCGATGAAGTAGCTTGTTAGCCTTAAAAGCGAACGTTCATTGGAAATCGATTCCTGTTCGACAGTACCTTACAGGAAACGTTTCTATACGCGCAATGCATTCTATCATCGTTCTTATTGCTTTTGATCGATATCAATAGAGTGTATCGGTAGGGTATAGGCGAAGATTCCATAAAGACTTCTCGAGACTGAAAGGCATCCAACTCCGACGCGTTTCAATCGCTGTTTCCATATTCTTATGAATATTTAAACGTCGCACGAACAACCATCATGAAATACCTTTTGCACTTGCGATTTTATTTCGCGAAACGATTTCAACGTCGCTTTGCCACTCGAGTAATATATAACTTAAATCGTTGCCAAATCTCTTCAAGTATAAATAATTAATTTTTCAGAGTATAGTCGTAAATTTTCCAACTTAATAAAGCAGATAATATGAATTTTTGTAAAGACAAATTAATTTGGATTTAATTTTCTTTTGTATGGAAAGGAGACTGCAAAGCCAGTTCGATCACGTTGAAACACTAGAGAATGCCTGCCTTGAGTCGGCTGATACACCACTTAAAACTGGCGGAACCATTATTCGCTTTATCGCCGGAACTTCG